CCCCACCAGCTCCTCCCTTGTTGGTGAGATCAAGGTCTAGCACAGCACCTGTCCTCATTGGTTGCTCTATCACTTGGAGAAGGAAGTTATCATCAATGCGTTCCAGGAACCTCCTGCATTGCTTATGCCCTGCTGTGTTGTCCCTCCAACAGATATCAGGATGGCTGAAGTCCTCTATGAGGCCCAGGGCTCGGTGAATGTGAGGCTGCTCTTATCTGTCTATAGAGGGTCTCATCTGCTCAGTCTTCCAAGTCAGGTGGCCTGTAGCAGACCTCCACTATAATATAACCTGTTCCTAACCTCCCTTTAATCCTGACCCATAAGTTCTCAGTTGGCTCCTCATCCATCCCCATGCAGAGCTCCATGCACTCCAGCTGGTCTTTGACATAGAGGGTGACACCACCTCCTTGTTGTGGAAAAGAAGTTTTCCATTGAAAATAATATATTTCAAACATTTTCTCACATTCACCTATAATGCCCTTTCAGTCCACTCAAATTGCTTGTGTGAATGTCTGGTTTTATTATGCCTTTAGATATGGCTATCAAAATCTGACAGAGAAGTAATTGGCTGAAAGCAGTTCATACATTCCTAGCATAGAGTGAAGCTTCTCAGATTTACAGTCTCATAATTGAATTTCCTGAAGTATTATAAATTACCAACTACCTCTTTACTCAAGTCCATTGTCTGCTTAAATCAAAGCTAACAAGTATCCTTAGTGGTATAAAAATTTCACAATCTCAGTCAACTATTCCCGCAGTTCTTTCTGTATGCGACAATGTGTTTTTTTAAACTGGAATTTAAAAGAGTATGCTTTATAAAACATCAAATATGCTACTTAAGATTAGCTCTAATTTCAAATGAGAGATATATGCACTTTTTCACTATTCATACTAATGTAGAGTCTTGTAGTAGGCTCTACTTTTTATAGTTCCAAAATTACAAAACAGGGCAGTATTTCTATCCAATCATAATGCAAAAGATAGATTGGTGTTGATCTATTCAAATGATTGACTGAAAAATGCAGTAGAGTTCAGTCCAGGACAAATATACTCTTATCACAATTTGTAAATAGCAAACAGTTTTTGTCATAGTAGTTTTTAATTTCTAGACTCGATGATTAAAAATACTACATTCAGGCACATCTTTTAGACAGTAAATGTCTTTGGTAACAGGCTACATTAATATTTGGTCTAAATCCTGTGAGGAGGATCAGGTAATCAGTTTATTATGCAGCCTCCTGAAGAACCTCACAATACATTGAGAAGTTGCATTTCCTCCCCACGCCGCTTTTAAAGTTCTCCTTCATTTGAAAGATTCACTGTGCATACCCTAGTTTCATACTTTAAAACTGTCCAAGGCTGCCAAGGTGGTCAAAAATAAGTAACAAACCAGTTGATATGTTCCATTCGCGTAGGTAAGCACCTGACTGATGTAAATCTGTGCGGCTTTATTAAGTCTCTCTTTCAGCCTGGACTAGAAAGGAATGTAGAAGAAGGCATTGCATATGTGTGGGTGTGAGCAACAGCTGCCAAAAGAGCCCACAGAACATCCTGCTCTCAAAACAGTTTAGAGGAGAATTGAGACTGCTCTAGATCATTTTTCATATCTGGAATGAGGTTTACCATCTTACCAATGACAAAACTTAAAAAACAAAAACATACAAAGACAAAACTAATTCTTTTGTGGACTTGTGTTTACAGTCAAAGGCCACATTTCACATTTTACTAATTTACACAACAATACTAACTCAGATTGGTTTGCATAGTTGTACACAGGAACAAAATTTGACCACCTCTGACTTTTATTCCATTTACTTACTTTTTTGCAATGTTTTTCATATGGGTAGACTTCTGGTATACATTTGCTAGTCCAAACAACACAGAAATTGCAGTACAGTATAGTATTTCCATCTTTTTCTGAGACTGTGCAAGTAGTAAAGAGTCCCAATTCCTCTATTAATACAACAATAACAGTCTGTGCTATAAAAAGACTGGACTATTGAAATATAGTTTACAGGTGTAAAGTGTGGGTTTTTTTTCCTTAACATATCATTTGTTGTGCAATCTATCTTTCTTCCTTTAAGTGTTTAGAGAACCTTAATCTTTTTGAACTGATTTCCTTTTTGTTCAGTTTGGTGCCAAAGAGAACATAAAAGATTCCAGATGAGACTACATCTCTAAAGCCAAAAGGAAAATATTAGGAACAAAAATAATATTTTGAGGTTTCTTAGTTTGTTTTACTGCTAAAACTGGGCAGACTGTTTACACAAATCATTTTGCTGTAAAGTAACACGTAATGAGTTAAATGTGTGCAATGTCACCATCAATCATGTTCATTTGTGTTTGACAGACCAAACATTTATGGCACATTAAATCACTTTCTAATCACGTTATGAAGGAGGAGGAACAAACATACGTTTCAAGCTTTCTTTAAAAAATACAGAAGTTTCAGTACATTTTCCTGGCAATCTCCTAACTTGTGGAAGACTCCATTAATAACATTTGCCCAAGCAACTTATGAAGGTCTGGCAGTACTTAAATTCAGTGCTCTAAATGAAAAGGGGTTGAGATTCTTTTAGGGAATGGACATATTACTTTTCAATAGAGTCGTCTTTAACAATTCCAAGCAATGTAGCTGCTCTTCTACAATACAATGTTGATTCACAGCCACCACTCAGTAATGGTTTTCTCTTTCAAACACAGTTTTTAAAGTGAGACAGCTTGGAGAAAAAACATTCTTTCAGCTAAACAAAGAAATCTTTTGTTGTGGCCAATAGAGTTAGATTCTCAAGGGGAAACACCTATCAGTTCTTGTATGTTTATTTTGCTTTAGATTTTAATATAGTCAGAGATCTTTGGAAATAATGATAAGCATTTTACTTGCCTTGAAAATTCATTCTATTTAAGTGGCATCTTTTTAACCAGTACTAACAGAGTCTTGTAGCCTCTAAATGCACTATTTTATGGCATTTTTTTCTCTCAGTGCCGTCAGAAGATGACATCTGAAATAACACAAGCTAAGGTATGTCTGCACACTATTCTGTTTATAACTGTATATAATCACAGATATAAGAGCAAACCTGACATTGATAGCTTCCTCCAAATCAAATTCATTGCTATTTTTATGCTTATTCTGTGTATATACTCAGATGTAATCTGAGTAGTGCCTAGCAAAGCTGAGTCTTCAGCTTAAAACTGTTCATCAGTGAGATAGTCCAATCTGTCACTGTACTGAAATGCTTGTAAGAATATCTTACAAAATAAGAAAATATAGAATTGAAGGTGGGTCAGATACTGCCATAAGTGGTTGGATATATTTTTTGGAAAGATGTTACCTTTACATTCGCAGTTTTCAACTTGTCTAAATGTTTTAACTACAAATCCAGGCCATAAACGTATGTCTAGTACAGTTCCTCCATAGTCAGAAATTTGAATGTTTCATCACTTTCTGAATCTCTCCTTTTTCTCACTGCAAGTTTAAATTCAGTATTAAAACAACTTCAATTAAGACTGGGGCTTCTGAAGATACCCATATATTTGGATCTCCTTGAAAGAAAACTGATCCCTTCTGATTTTGCAAAGGCGGAAGTTGAGCAAAAGTTTCGTGCCCACTTCTGAAGTCAAGAGCAAGTTTACAGAACTGGTTGTCTCAGTAATTTGGATACCTTAGTGTGACTGTTACAAATGTTTGAGACTCCTGAGAATCTTGGGTTACCACACCAGGCAAGAGTGAGGGAGACCAAAATGACTGGCAAGAAGAATGAAGTTCATAAAAGATATAGTTTTCTTTTGGGATATAAGTAGAAAGAATTAATATTGAAGTGACCATATGTAGATGAGTCTTAGACAGTTCCAGAGTTTGGATTTACTGAAGTAAAACAGCTTGTTCTTTTCTGTTTGTTTTTTTTTGTTTGTTTGGTGTTTGTTTTTTTTTGTTTTTTTGTTTTTTTTTAATATGAATAAAGATGCAAACATCATAACTGCAGACAGTAAAGTTCAGAGCCCAGGCTTGTTTCCATATTGAGAACTGGACTTTTTGACTACATGTAATAGTCTGGAATATTTTGACACACAGGAGTCCACTGTCTCCAAAGGATACCTTAATCAGAATTTCAGGGCTTCGTAAGAAGTAAATAGAGACTTACTGTCCTGCACTTACATGTGTACCTCTATGAGAATAGTCCTGGCTTTCTCGTCTGAGGACATTAGACTTTTGAGGTTTCTTTGCTTACTTGCACAATGGACTTGAAGTGGACCATGGCCTACCTTGTACTCCAGTGTTTCTCATCCCGTCAATAACACTTATGGGATTGGAAACTGACCATCCTCTATGATTGGAATCAGTGTCCCAGAAAGGTATAAGGAAGGAAGCACTGATTGCTGCCATCAAGGCTTTGGTCTTGGTGAACTAGTATAGCTGTCATAGAAGTCTAGGAATAATCAGGTTAAAATTTCGTCATCTAAGTACAAAAGAGCTCTTTGAGGAGAAAAGTACACAAAAGATGTTGTAGGAAGTTCAGGCTTCAGTTCCAACACATGTTCCTTATTTATTCTCACAGTCAGAGGTCCACTAGCCACTCGATGTAAAAGATCAAAATGATCAGTCCTTTTTTCTGGGCACTTTGTTGGTATATGGGACATAGATAAATCATATTTTGTTTTAGCAGCAGGGGCTTTTTCTCATAGATAAACATGTGGTTTGTCTAAAACAAAGCAAAACACAAAACATGAGAAATACCTCCCTAGAAACGGATGATGCTTTGAAAAATCATTTAAAGGCCAAACACTTGCTGAAGAAAAATAAAAACATAACTTGACAGAACCTGGCTCATTGCCTAATTTGCAGAGGAGAATTTCTGTATGGAAGTGCGCGCAGGTTTTTTTTGTCTTACAAAATCTGTTAATGTGTTCCTATCTGTTTCACATTTGAGTCATGTTCTCTACTCAACTCTGACAAAATGAATTGCAGAATAATACATTCTAATGAGACAAGACACTACCTTTATGAATGACCTCATAGAGAAGAGGTTAGCTAACATTGTTGAAAGGCCCGGTGCCAGGCAGCTCTGGGCTATGAAACCCAGCTTGAGCTCAGCAAGACAGATTGCATCATCCCCTTCTTTCCAGTTCCAACTTGGGATATTTAGCAGATGGGCCTGAAAAACAAACGAACAAAATACCCCATAGGTGAAGAACCAGAAATACTTCCTCATATACAGTAGAGTATTGAAGAAGATAGCAGTGAATTATTTGCTTCATACTGGCTTGACTTTTTCTGAGTAGGCAGAAGCACTTCAAGTATTTTAGAGTTTAATTCTATGCTAAGAAACTTTCTGATCTTACTTATTATAGACAAAATCTTACAGTTCTCAAGCCATATTCTGGCTGTGACACTCTGCCAGGCTCATCCTCACACCTTAATAAACCACAGAATGTTGTCAAGTTTTCCTTCACTTCTGTATATTCCTTTTAAAGCTACTCTTTGACTGATAAGGCATATATATAATATACAAGAATCTACTGTGACTTAGATTACAACTAAGTGAAGCTGCAACGTTTATAGGACATTGTCATTTAATAAGGTACACAATATCTTCTATCTTTTCTATTTCATTCCTTCCACCCTGAAGGATAGCACTTGACTTGCGAAAATACAAACTTTTCCCTAAGACTGCTATTTATATGGGTAAAGAAAATAGCTGATCAAGATACACCTCCGGTATTGACACTGGTCGGTTAGGTATTAAAGTCGTTCTATTATTGGCATAACTCTATTGGATTCTCTCTTGCATCTACCTCGTACATTTGCATAAACATAATGAAACACAGAGGGCTTCATGCCTGTTTCCCTTCATAAGTTAATATGACAGTTTAGTGCTTTGATAACGGCTATTCTTGAAGACACATTCATTGGAAATAAAAAGGAAAAACACATTATTTAAAAGATCTTTCCCTCTGAACCTATTTAAAGCAGAGAAACACCTTGCTTTTATTCTACAAAAAGACAGGCTCCTTCCACTCACATACAGGATGAGGACATGATAAGCAACAGTAATTGCTCTTGTTCTAGGCAAAGGCTACAGGTATAAGGAGCTGTTAGCAATCAGACCTTCTAAGTATCAGGATTATTATTTATTTCATTGAACAAAGATCTACCCAGTTGAGCTTTTTCTCCAAAGCAGGGCAGTGGTTGATGCTTTCAGATTTAATTAAAGAAGCAAGTCACGTATGAGTAGCCTGTCCTCTAATATGTTCTTCCTAGCCCTGTTAATCAGCAGTTTATGGACTTCCATATCTCAGGATTGAATGAATTGACTTCATTGTGTTTAAAGGCCACAGATTTACCATCAAAAATTTTGCAAATACCGTTCCGAAGTAGATTTATAATTTTGATCTCCACAATATTTTTAGCAACAAATTCCATGACTGAAGTATGTTTTATATGGAAACAAATTTAATTTTATTTATTTTGTACCTGCTACTTGGCAATTTCAGGTCTATATTGTCATGTAAGAAACAACAAAAAAAAGATCACAACAAATCTCCAATAAGACAATAATTCTATGAATTGTTTTCATGTATCCACAAAGAACTGACTTCAGATGAATAGTTTAGAGGCCACCAATTGATCTTAGGTAGCTCTAGAGTAATAAGCTGAGCAAAACTTTGAGCAGTTAAAAGTTCATCTGGAATCAATAGCAACTATGGGACACTGTGGCTTTGAGAATTAGACTCTAGGCGATTAATAAATGTCGAGAAGTTGATAAAGTCTCTTGCATATATAATAAAACTGAATTACCTTGTAACTGGATTACATGACTAGGCTTATTAGGATGTTTTTGTTTGGAAAGAAAAATGCTTACTATTAGTGGACCTGGAAAAATTGTGTATGAGTGAATGCAACATAGCAAAAAACTTTGGGGAGAGACACTGTTGGTCGTTATGTTACCTTATTGTGATACTGCAACATCTGAGTGATAATTCTTATCTTCGGATGATAATTCTTTATTGAAATAACTCTAAAAAGAAAAGAAAAAACAATGACAATAACTTTAGCTGGTGGGATATTTGGCTAATGTATCCCAATACCTCTACTTTACTGTGCTGTCAAGTCCCACAATTAAAACTGTACCCTCTTATTCATTTGGCTGTAAAGCATACTGATTGAAGTCAGATCTATGCAATATTTACACCTAGTCTAATTCACTTAATAAACATCAGTTAATACTAGAGAACATCAGGTTTCAGGAATTATTCAGTTTAATGGTTTGGTCTTATAGAATTTGCAGAGAGACTTTTTTTAGCAGCTCTGTTCAGATACTGCACTTTCTGTTAAGTAAATAATACACTTAGTATGTCATCTTCAGTGATTATCTTCATGTCTTTGAATCAATGTAATTGATCAAGTTTTCCAATTATAAATGTCTGAAATGAGTCCCTTTTCTTTTTGCCCCACCACATTATTTTTTACTTACAGTTGCCAGGCATTCATCATATTTAAATACCTTGAATAATTATTTTGTTCGACATAAATCCACATGAAAATTCATCTTAATTTTTACAGATTATTCCAAAACTCAATATTGAAGCTGATATCTGAACGGTGAATTTACAAAATATGGGCCTACTTCCATAATCTGCAGCTTGCCTGCATAATTATTTAATGAGCCTAAGATATACTCAACTGTATACAGATTAAAAGTAGCTGAAGAGAAAAATGCTTGAGAAATGAGTGTATTAATAACATGTTATGAAGAGAGGAATACACAATTTTAAAATGAAAAGAGCATTGAGCAAAATTAAAGAGAGAAACAGTCAAAAAATTCAGTTCTCCATATACAAACTAAAGGTAGAAAAACAAGATAAAACCATCAAAATGAAAAATAATCTGAATTATTATGGAATCATCAGTCTCATAAGACTGTTTACAGTCTCATAACTGTTTACACTGGTGTTTTGTAGGAAGCATCTTGCACACTGCTAGTCTGGCTTGCGCTTTGAAGCACATCAAAACTAGAGGATGAAACAGATAAAAAAAGTATGCATGATTTTAATTTATGTTATCTTTTGGAAGGAGAAAACAAGTCTTCCCTTTAATTTTCCATTTCTTGCTGAATTATTTAATTAAACATTCAATTTTGTTGAATTAAATTAACTTAAATGTGAGAAAACACAAGAGAATTCCACTCTCAAAATAACACTTTAGAATTTTATTATATTAAATGTATAATATCTATTAAGAATATACTAATCTACAACTGGAATATTTTAATGTATTTATGCAATTAATGTCAAAATAAAATTTCTCACATTGCAACTCAAAAGCATGTTCAGAAAATGTAATTAGGCATATTTAAGCCCTGCACCTTCCAGACAGCCAGATGTCTTACGCACAGTTAACTTTTTCCAGAGGAGCAATTTATTTAATTTATTAATTAATTAATTAATTTCTCCCCTTCTTTCAATTCACAGCATGTAAACACCGGACAGGCCAGTAAAATTGCTTTGTAACACTGGCCTATTCTATATTAAAGAATTTTTAACAAATCATTGACATTTTAATTTTTAAAAGGAGAGACTGGTCTCATTGAAACTAGGGTTGTATGAAAAAAAAACAGAAAAAAGAATGGTTTAGGTTTGTTGTAACTCTAGCTACCATCTACTAATTGACTTTTTCATCTCCTTCCTTCAGAGGATATAAGGAGGAAAGCAGGACAAAATCTCATGGTCCCTAATGCAGAAAGTGCCTTATCAATCAAAATAAGCAATGTTTGTTCTTCAGCATAAAAAAAGGAGGATGGAACTATAAGACCACTGTGTCGTTACCATCATGAAGTGTATACCTTGCTTTCCCCCGAGTAGGGCAACTGCTTGTAGGAGCAGGTATTGCCAAGGAGTAGCGAGGTATGAAGTGATTAAGGGTCCTTCTGTCCCATCATTAACAGCAGCCCACGCAGTACATGCACTCATGTAAAATACTGTTGCAACAACACAACTGCATTCCCTTTCCCCTCGTTTCTACTGGGACTGTGTTCAGCTGTGAATATTTAAACCCTAAGTCCTGCAAAATGACTAAGAGTACCAAAGCTTGTGCTCCAAGTGTCTCTTCTGACTCACTCTTTCTAAAGCAGCTAAATTAAAACAGTTTAGGTAGGAATTTAGGGTAACCTCATCTCTGAACTTCTGAAACAATCTTGTCATTTGTCCCCTAAAAAAGTATCCTGCAACGTTCTTCAAGTGCAACAGATGACCAGCAAAGCCGTGTGTGGCTATAGCCTATCTGGACACCAGAAGTTACCTAATCAGAGTTAAGAACCAAAAACCTATTAAAAACTAATGATTTTACCTCATAATATTGGAGGCATCTTCAGCATCTGGGTCAGCGCAGTATTTATTGGCAAGGATTAGGCACGCGTCTGCTGACTCTATCTGAGACACCAAAGAAAAGCAAACATAAATAGCAATATCTCTTTCCAGATCTTCTTTCATCATAAAGCATTAGTGAATCCAACACTGCCATCATGAGTGTGAATGTCAGTTCTTAATACTGCTAATCAAAAATATTACAAGGCTAATGTGACAATGTGAGTGATTATAACAGCTCTCATATACACAGCAATTTCTTGAAACTTGCTTATGATGCGCAGACCATGACGGTAGTTCAATTATTGACTCTCACTTTGTATCAACTGAGGCATGACGGTGTTAATGGACATATCTTTTGTAACCAGATACTGAAATTTAGACCCCTGAATTCATAGGAAGATCCTATTACATCACAAGTCCTGAAGTTTTGTTGGGGAATTAAAGTACCTTCTTATTAGAGACAGGAAGAGACAGCTCAACTAATGCTTTAGAATCTGAGCACCAGTTTCAGAAAGCATGAGGAGAACTGATCTGCTCACAGGAACTCTATGTTCACACAAACCTAAGCTCTACTTAAATCAAAGCAGATGACAAAAGTATTTTTCAGTGTATAAAACCAAATACCAACACAAAGAGGGGTGGAATACAGAACAAAAAATACCAACACACAACTTTATGATCATAATTAGAACATTTTGTTCTGATGAACTAAACCAGTGTTTTGGGCTACAAAAGATTAAGAATTTTCTGCTGCCAAAATCGACAAAAGACATGATTAGTACTCCAGAAAATGTTAACATTGCACTAAAATATTTTTGGCTTAAGTAGTCATTTTACATTCCATTCAAAAACCAAAACAAAACAAAATCAAAACCCAAAACCATAAAAGAGTTAATGCTGTATCTGACAGCTTGCCATCTTTTTTTTAGTTAAGATTTATGCTTTGCTCTAAGAGTACAAAATAATTTACTATAGAGAATTCTAGACAATAAAATCATCTCGTTTTTACCTACAAAAAATCTTAAATTTTAATTTTTTTTTCTACGATTCCAGACAATAGAAAAAGGGTCTGACAGATGAAAAATTATTTTCTAATAGCTCTGATGAACGTAAGACAATAGTATTTTAAGCAATTACTGTAAGACAATGTTCTATTATATCAAACATTAATGTAAAATAGACTCTTGAACTAGACCCCAATGAAAAATTCATAAAGAGTTCAACGGAATGGCAGACAATGTATCTTAAGTCATAGTGTTACTGTAGCTTTGAAGATCTAAAGATACAGGGAAAACAAGTTAATAAGGACAAATATTACAATTTATTAGGCAAGTTAATAGAGATGGAAGAACAACCTTTTGAGATTATAGGAAGAGAATTACTGTTTTTTTCCAAAGATTGTAAGATGCACTTTAAAAAAAGTCAATTAGCAGGAGAACAGAACAACAGAGCAGTTACCTTCACTCTCGCCAGGTCATGGGGATTAAGGACTGAACCCTGATAAAATTCCACCTGAGTGAAGTGTCGTTTAAAAAGAGCTTCCAGCTCAAGGTTAGGGGAGATACTGGATTGGGAAGAGGAAGAAAACACAAGAGTAAATGACAAGTCAGTTTCCATACCTGCCCCACTTCCTTCATTTATAAACCATCTCATTTATTTATTTTAGGTATTCAGACTTCTGCTGATGCGGATGCTCCATGGTGTGGAAACAGTGTGCAGTACTTAAAAGATAAATACTATACTGCTTTCACTTCTGTACTTCTGTCTACAACACTTCTGGCCCATTTAATTTTGCATCTCTGCATGTTCATCATTTGCCAGTTTCTCACAAATGTGAATTCAGATGATTGGTGTAAACATTTGAAAACACCCGCGTACAGCATTCTCCACAGAAATTGTCTAGTGAGACAATCATCCTCAGCACATCCCCATCATTCTCAAAAGAGCCAATTGCATCACATAAGAAAGCTCAAAGCAAAATCACAAAAAGCCAGAAATTGAACCCTACAGGGATCCTGCCGTCTCTATGAGCTACAATTAAACCAAACATAATTATGCTGTGACTTTCTGTCTCATTTCATTGTGCCATAAACAAAGAAAAAAGTAATGGATCCCAATCTATTATATAATGTGGCACCAATCTCATAAATACCTTTTCTGATGACACTCATTAAAACAGAAGGGATTTAATAGCTACATAGTAAGTGCATGAGATCTTTGTCAAGCCAGATGCTAAATTTCATAAGAAAATAAAACAGATACATGCAAATATTTGTCTGTGAAGGTACAGAAGAAAGCAGGCACAAACAAGTAGCCAGGTGCTAAACACCCTTCATGTGCAACACGCAGTTTCCTAATTCCTATCACCATGTATTTTCACTGTGGAAATCTGCATCTCTGCTTTCTTCTCACAGTCAATTCTTGGTATTACTTACAGAGGGGAAACCAGCAATGTAGTTACTTGAGGATATCATTGCTAGTTCAATTTGAAAGGACTAGACAAAAAAAATGTGCAATTGCTGATGATTCTTAGTTTTTCAGCTTTCTTTGTTGAATCATCACAAACGATTCTTTAACTTTTAATAATTTTCTTTTATGAGGAGAAAAGGGCAGAACTTGCTGCTACAGGGAAAAACATTACTCATTCATAGCTTGCAACACTTCAAAACAGATGCCATTCCAGAGCAGAAAGACTTTTCCTCCTGTCTCTCTCTCTCTACCACATGGCTATTTCTAGCAGCTTCTCCCATAGGCACGCCACTTTGCTGCTGTATTACATGTAATGCAGAGCCTGCAACAAACAGCAACGACCTTAAGGCACCTTTCCAAATCCCACATCAGAAAAATGCAAAAAACCCACGTGTGTGTAGGCATGTATATATGGGTAAAAGAGCAGTACTAATTATCGTGAAAAGAATTTCTCTTCTACTATATCTGTAACGTATCTCATTTTCATTAAAACTAAATCTGTACTTAGTTTTTCTTTTTATAAATGTTTGGCAATATGAAATAGGCATTTTTTCCTAGCAAAATCAAAGGTGAAATGTGTTTTTAGATAGCATAAGCTCCTATGACATACAGTATTTTTCACTATTTTTACTGATTTTACCCATTTTGGTAGTTTCATTAGAAATATTTGCCACTAAAGAAAATTCTCACATCTATTTATTAGTATTTTAATATTTTTTATTTCATAATTCCATTCCCACTTCAGCTATGCATTTAGCTATGTACCTCACAACTGACACGATTGGGTCTAAAGTCTGTCTGCTTGAAACATCTGTACTTAGCAATGGGTTATAAAAAAAAACTGCAGAAAACAACACTTTTTCAAAATACATTGTTGACAAAAAGTAATTGCAAACATCAATAATATCGTTATTTAGAGCTTGAAAGATCTTCTGTCTTCCCCAAAAAAGATATAGCTTAGTTTAATGAGTTTTAGTAACAGATGAGAAGACTAATCTTGAAAGATTACTCACTTATGCAGAAAGACGATTTCTACGTTGACATCGTCCCTATCCTTGTGCAGGAAGTCCTTCAGGAAGTTGGACACGCTTTCTAGTGTTATGTGACCACAGACAACTATGTGCCTGTTACAGAAAAAACAGAGTTAATCTTTCAAAGGTCAAACAAGAAAGCAAGAAAGCAGAGAAGGAAATGGTAATTTATAGTCTCTTCTTGATGTTTCTCTAGATCCTATTCCATGAAGTCAGAGAAGGAAAACATCAGTTCCAAAAGGTGCTTTGTAACTGCAAATACATACACACTCACCTGCAAAGACTACTATTAACAAACCATTTGGCCAAGTTGTATTACATATTTAACAGTAAGTGGCATAATTTATATATATGTTTATACACTGTATTAACTCGTCCCTTTCAAAGTCATATTTATTTATATTACACATCTTTTTCCACATCTTTACCTCCTCTACTGAGATTTACTGCTTAAATATGGTTGTTTTTTTTAATGACATAATGAGACAGCAAATCTCCCTAAAATGATTCAATATTTTACCATGGTTGAAAGCAAACACGCCAATGAAGGCAGTGCAAAGCTTGCCAATTATAGGCCATAAGCAATAAAAAAGAAATCTTTTGCCTACCGTAACTCCTATAAGGAGAGTACTTTACAATAAGAAATCATTATTTATTGCACCATTGCAACAGATTGCTTAGAAAATCAAAGTTTGCACAGACTGTGACATCACAAAGGTTTCTACTGTTTAACGTTTCCATTAATAGATGTATCCGAGCACAATATATACATACGTACACGTTCTTGAACTCTACATCTTAACCTCTGAGAGGCTGAAGAAAAGGCCTAGGAAATGGCACTCTTCCTGACTTAAGGGATCTTTGATCCTTTAATATTGTGAAGCAAAGTCCAAAAATTTGTGATTAGACTATCCTACATTGATTCACAATTTCCTTCATGGAACAAACTCAGTGCCAGCTTCCATTATTGTCATGGGTTTCAGAGAGATGGTGATTTTCATATGCCTATTGCTAACACTTCCAATAACCACATTGCTCACAGAAGTCAGGATGAGGGACAAGGGGGTATAGATTCAATTCCTGAACTAACAGAAAGCCAACTTCATTACAGTCACATAGTCTATGAACAAACGCTACAAACACAATTTCACAAACTTATTTAGCACTTTAACTGCCAAATGTGAAGCAAAGTAATTCCAAGGGTAAGAAGTAGACCATCCAAGCCTCACCTACTTCATAACTGTTCTGTGGAAAACTCAGTAAGGCAGAAATCTCATTGGCTGGATAAAACAAAAAATAGGTGGCAGCAATGATTACTTATGTAATGGGCAATAATAGGAGTCTGCTCTTGCTCCATAATTTGATGCTTGATGAAACGTGTGTGAAAAGTGCATAGAACTCCTTGGAAAAGGGATAATTATGCAGAACAAAGAATAAATCAGCAATATGCATCATGAATAATATCACCATCATGTACCGTTAATTTTGCACTGGTTCAGATGGTGACTAGAAAAGCAAAACACAACACATTATTACACCAGTCCAGCACACCTTATGATACTGTTCTACTATTACCACTTCTATAAACAGTTGTCCTGGTTTCAGCTGGGACAGAGTCAGTTTTTCTTTTTAGCAACTAGAAGAGCTCTATGTTTTGGTTTTAGTCTGGGACTTGCTCTGAGAAGAACGCTGATAGCACACTGATGTTTATAGTTGGCACTGAGGTCTCAAGGACTTTTCGGCTGCCATGTTCTTGCCAGCGTGCAGGAGCACAACAGGATAGGGGGGAGCACAGCTGGGACAAAAGGTCCATGACTCCCCTTATGGTTGATTTTAAGTTAGACTTAGGATTGAGGGCCAAACTGGCCAATAAGTATTCCATATCATGCAGCGTCATGCCCAGTATAAAAACGAGCGTCAGCCAGAAAGAAGGGTCTTTGCTCTTCCAGGGCTCTCACTCTCGGAGTGCTCTGTCTCGCTCTGTTTTCGGGCCTCTCACTTGTCCGGGATTGCGGTGTTGGGACTTATCTGTTTCGGGATTGTTAGTTCGGGACAGGAAGGGCTTTTATCAAGGGGTGGTGAGCAATTACACTGTACATCACTTTTTTGTATATATATTTATCATTATACATATATATATGTATATATTCATATATTAGTAGTAGTAGGATTAAATTGTTCTTATCTCAACCCCCAGGTCTCATTCCGAATCTCCTCTGCCAGCTTCTTGTCATCCGTGATGAGGAAATTATCAAAGATGGTGTCAGACTTCACCTGCCAGAGGTCCAGGCCGATGACAATAGCATAGCATAGAGTTATAAAGCTTTATTTAGAGATGTGATGAACTGTCACACTCCTTTTGCATGAGTGCTTAGTGACATCAACAGGACTCAGATGTAATTTTAGAAATAGCAGCAGTCAAAAACTTCATTAGTTCCATTCTTTTTAACAGACAAGGAATATATGTTTATATGAGACTCTGATTATGCTGTTTTGTAGTTAACATCGGACTCAGTACTCAAACTTTTGTTGCTAAACTAGCTATCCAGAGTGTCTGCTTTGACTTCAGTATGATTTTGCTCAATTTACCTTAAGTTTTTGGTGCCGTAAGTGTACAGAGCACTGAGTTCTCAGACTGTAAACACTTAAACCCACAAAAATTCCCAAGTTAAAGCTTTCCTGTTGTATGAGGTAGTAAGCACAATATCAAAAAAAAAAAAAAAAAAATTAGCTCATCCTTTTTTGGTGCAAGGGGTCCTTAAGAGGTTTCCTCTGGGATCTTTGCAGCTTGGCAGAGTTTGAAGCAGCCTCTGTACTGGATAAAACCATGCCTATATCCCCTTCTTCAGAAACACTCTTCCTCAGTTTCCCTAGCAGTCAATTTCCTGAGCTGCCAGCACCGTGTGCGCGTGTGTTATTGCACTCACAGTTAGGTCAGGATACACAGAAGGGTAAAGTATGATCTCAAGCACTAAGATTCACTCCCCACTAAACGGATGAATCTGCATCCAATATATCAATGTAAATGGAAAACCTCAAGAAAATTCAGACTCCAAAGAGATGTTTAAAACCTTAGTAGTTGACTACATCTAAATTCTGAACAGACTGTGATACATTACATTACACTAACATATTGGGAAATTCCAGGTGTCTAGTGGTATTCAGCACTTTTCCTAAGTGTAAATCCATCTAGCATCAAAACCAAAAAGGCCCAAGAAAATTAAAAATAGCATGGAAAAATATTCATTTGTATTCCTTATACTGTCTGCACACATTTTCTAAGATAACTAATTTTAAATCATGGGTATTATTTTCTTCAAATGTTTCCATTACTGATCAAGAAACTGAACTTTCCGTTTGCATAGATGAATGCATTATTTCTAGTAATAGAAATAATTTCTTCTTGTAAGCAACTGCTGTGTACAGATCCTGTGCTGTTAGCTTTAGCAGGGTCTCTTCCTCAACACTCCTGTGCTACACTGCACACCTGGGACATTTCATTCCATATGGGTTCTTTTATGTCATTAATTAGAGTCTACATTTAAAAAATATGAGTAAACTGAAGAGAAAAACTGCAAGTCAGGTAGTGTGCACAATCCAAATCACTCTATTGCAGAAGAAATTTGCATAGGATCATAAGATTAGAAGATAATTCAAGTTGGAAAAGACCTCCAGAGGTTATCTACTCCAAAAACCTCCTGCTAAAAGCAGATGTATTTGGTACAATAATTCAATCCTGTTATGATTCTCATTCAGTAGGGTTACCTAGCAATCTGCTCTAGTGAAAATAAAACATTTGGCTGTCAAATACTTTTGCATTTGAGTGTCAGGACTGATTCTTTTGAAACTGTCAGAAAGCATCTGCACCATGGTTTCACATTAGCACTCTGATTTGGGGCTGGACATGGTCTATTATTCTCTTCTTTGCTGTTCTTACATAGCGCAAGTCAGTGTTCTAAGAAGTGAATGCAACAAAACCACCTGGTTTCAAACAATGTTTTCTGATGAGATACTTGCATTATTTTTTGGTTGAAAACTCCCACAGAAAAATCTCTGTTTAACATAAATTATATTTTTGCTTAGAAGAAATAGAAAACAGATTTCCTACTTGCCCAGAGAGAGTTATTATGTACATTATTTAAGAAAAATTGGAGAGCTTATATTGTTCCAATTAATTCTGTATATGATTTGAAGATTTATAACTTCCTCTGTTTCAATACCATTCCCTTCCCATATACCATTCATTTTTTTTTCCATGCATGAAAAGTTTAAGTAAAGCCACCATACTGGATATCTTTTGCTTTCAGCTAGAGTTGGTTGGTAGGAAAATATTGTATTAATAATTTTGTGTCAACAGAAATGTCTAATCTCTGCATTAAGCTTTTGTTTATGAAAAACCTCAAAAGTAATACAGCTAAATTACTATGATTTCCATTTATTATTTTTTTATTATTTAAAAATAAAATTTAGAACTTCTCTTACAATACTGAAAACCATGATTCAGGAATCTAGATATTTTTACTGCTGATAAGTATTCAGGAGGACTAAGATTTCTTGTTAAGTAATAGTTGTCATTGGTATCACTCATGAGAGGTGAAACTGGCTTAAGATACCAATGAGAATCCACATGACACAACTTTGATGCTGCAAAAAGAATCTTTTACAGAGAATCTAAAGCTTTTCAGGAGCCATATCCTGTCAATCAATAAAGCCATACTAATCCATTCTCTCCTATGTACTTATCATTCTCAAAACTAATTACAGTGACTAAATATGTAAAATGACTGCAGTTCTATGCAGTTGATTTCAACTGTGATTCTACACAGTTGAAATTCTCTACAGTACCTAATTTTTTCCACTCAAGTATTGACATAATGATATAAGAAGCTAGTGTATTTCTAGCAAATGTAAACAAAAATGGTGATAAAAGGTCCAAAGCTACCACAGATACAGTTTCAGGAAAGAAAAAACAAACAAACAAAAAACCCCAACAAAATAAAAGTTAAAATATCTAGAGGTCTGACATGAGACAATTGAGAACATACACTTAATCCATGTAAATAGCACTGCAAATGGAAACATCCACTGAGAAC